CTATGATTCTAAGAGGAGTGCGACGTTGATCTCACAACGCATTGTAGCTATGACATGAGATTGCTTGTGGCATTCACGGAGGTGCTGACCACAGTGGAACCCCGCTTTTGGGCTCGGGAAACAAGCACTGAGTGGTGGGATCACATCGTGATGCATGTCTGGGATGATGAGCAGTGGCTAAAAAACTTTCACATGATGAAAGCCACTTTCATGGGACTGTGTGATGAGCTTGCCCCAGCCCTGCGGCGCAAGGACACGAGAATGCGAGCTGCCCTGTCGTTGGAGAAATGCGTGGCGATTGCACTGTGGAAGCTGGCTACTCCAGACTGCTACCGATTGGTCGCTAAACCAGTTCGGAGTGGGAAAGTCGACCGTTGGAGTCGTGTTGATGGAAATGTGCAGGGCCATTAATCGCATCCTGCTCGAAAGACCATGACTCCGGGCAACATACGTGACATTGTGGATGGCTTTGAACAAATGGGCTTCCCTAACTGCGGAGGGGCAATCAATGGCAGGCACCTTCCAATTCTGGCACCAGACCACCTAGCCACCGAGTACATTAATCGCAAGGGGTATTTCTCAATGGTTCCCCAGGTGCTTGTGGATCACCATGGGCATTTCACAGACATTAACGCAGGCTGGTCCGGAAAGGTGCACGACGCACGCATCTTTCGGAACACTGGCCTGTTCAGGAAGCTGCAAGCAGGGACTTTCTTCCCTGATCAGAAGATTGGGTAGTGGAAGTCGAAATGCCCACTGTGATCCTGGGAGACCCCGCCTATCCCTTAATGCCATGGCTCATGAAGCCATAAACAGGGCAACTTGACAGCAGCAAGGAGCGGTTCAACAACAGGCTGAGGAAGTGCAGAATGACTGTGGACTGTGCATTTGGCCGTTTAAAAACCCGCTGGCAATGCCTGTATGGGAAGCTGGACATGGCTGATGACAATATTCCTATGCTTATAGCTGCGTGCTGTACACTCCATAATATTTGTGAAAGGAAGGGTGAAAGCTTCACTCAGGGCTGGACCACAGCGGCTCAGCGCCTGGAGGCTGAGTTTGAACAGCCAGAGACCAGGGCTATTAGAGGGGCACAGTGCAGAGCCATAAGGATCAGGGATGCTTTGAGGCAGCAATTTCAAGCTGAAAGCCAGTAATATTTGTTGCTATGCTTGGAATTGCAGTGCTTGTAATGCTAGGAGGTGATTGGTGCACATGATGCAAGAAGGGACCTTAACATAATTGTCTGTTGCTTTGCAGGGCTCTTTTTGCTTTCATTTAATAGAATGAAGATTGCTTTCAAACCAAAACAAATCTTTTATTGAAAGACAACAACCAGAGGAGAGAGTCAAACGAAAAAAATCATCAGCGGGGGGGGGAGTCCGCAGTGCTGGACTGTGATGGGGGAGAAGTGGAATGCTGCGGGAAGAAAGTGAAGCCAGGATGCTGCTAGCAGTGTGTTGGTGGGGTGTGTGTGGGGGTGCGCATGGGAAAGAGTTTTGTGACAGTGCCTGCAGGGGAAGGCGGGCGCGGAGCTGCTCGGTTTAAAGAACTAGTATCGCCTGGAGCGTGTCCTCTTGGTGATCCATAATTGTTAAGAGCCGCTCCGTGGCTTCTTTCTGGTGTGCCGTGTTCTCTTTTTGGTCCCTTTTCTTGCTGTCTTGCCACTCCTTCAATTCTTTTTTCTCATTGGCGGAGTGCATCAAAATCTCACACATAAAGTCCTCCTTAGTTCTTCTTGGACGCTGTTTAATTCTGCACAGCCGTTTTGCCGCCGATAAGGGAGGCTGGCCTCCCAAGGTCATCTCTGTGAAGTTTAAATGCAACATTTTACAGAAGCAGTATTGTTTGCAACACAGACAACACTGTTTCAGTGCTTTAAAACACAGCAAGTATTCACACTCCTGTCACTAACTGGCTGACCCCAGGCAAGCACACATGAGCCACAAGACCCCCAAAATGGTGAGTTGCTGCAGGGGCAGGGTAAATCACTGTATACTGGGCATGTGCCTCTTGGGCACTTGGGGAGAGCCAGCACTGTAGGGTGGGTCTGATAATCATTCCTGTCCCCACACTTTCCACAGGAGGTGATCATTATGGAAGATATCTTGCTGCTGAGGGTGAGGAGGGACTCAAGGGAGGGTCTTCTCCAAGCCTGTGGCTTCTGCCCTGGCCCCTATGCGGCTAGCCTGAGTGCAGCAATGGTCCCGCACCCCTCCCGGCAAAGTGGAGTGGGAAAGTTACTGTTAATGGGACAAAAAACAAAGCAGATCTGCCGAGGAACCTACGGCAGCAGATTGCCCAGTATCTCCACGAGAGTTTCCTGGAGATCTCTGAGGGAGATTCTAATGAAGTGAGGTAGTGTATCAACAGCCTGTTCTGCCGCTCAGACTAGGCATGAGGTGGAAGACAAGCCTGCTTTATGCAACCCTCCTGCCCCCAACAACTCGCTTCAGCAATTCCCAAAATCAGATCCACTTACCAGGGGCCTCCTCTCCTGTTTGCTCTTCGCCAAGCTCTGACTGCTATGACTGGCTAGGCTGCTCCAGGGTAGAAAAGAGCTTCTGACTGCATGCATCTCTGGCCTCTGAGTCATCCTCTGCCTCTGGGTCCCCCTCCCCCTCTTCATCCAAGATTGCCTCCTCCTGGCTCGGTCCACTCGCAACGGGCATGCGAGCCAATGAAGTATCCGCAGGGTCCTTCGCAGTGGAGGTGGGGTTTTCACCGAGTATTGCAGCCAGCTCTTTGTAGAACCGGCTGCTCGTGGGCGCAGCACCGGAGCGGCAGTTTGCCTCCTGCGCCTTGCGGTAGGCGTTCCACAGCTCTGTCACTTTGACCCTGCATTGCAATGTGTCCCGCTCATGGCCCATTTCTGTCATGCATCATAAAATCTGACCGTAGGTATCATAATTCCTATGGCTGGAGTGCAGCTGGGACTGGACAGCCTCCTCTCCCCAAATGCCAATGAGGGCCAACAGCTCGGCATTTCTCCAAGCGTGGGATCGCCCGGTGCGTGGAGCAGGCATGGCCACCTTGCTCAGGAGTGGGAAAAAAACAGCGCTGGTAGCTACTCCCCTTCTGGGGGTGGGGTTTTTTTTTGTGGGGCTGGTGCTGCGACTACACAGCCACATTAAAGCTCTGCAGCACTTTAACATTGCTAGTGAAGACATGGCCTTATTCTTTTTCCTACAAAGCAGCAGAAAAGGCTCCAGGAAGAATTGAATTCTAGTGCTTAGAGCAGTGGTTGTTAGGAGTCCAGGTTCTATTCCCAGGTCTATCACTAA